CAGCAAAGGTCTGTGGCACTGTCATTCACAAGTCAACAATTTGTGGTACAGTCCACATGCCAGCTCTCTGTGTCCTGCAAGAATTCTCTATGGTGACAAGCCAACATGTTCAGACAGGAGGCTCAGCTTCTGGGCCATGGAGGGCAGACTATAATGTGTGTATCCTGAAGCTTGGAACACTTCAGTTACCCACTGAACCCTTACTTGTAGGTAGATGAATACTTTCTCAGTCCGATTTTGCTACAGAGAGAAGTATAGGGACGTCAGGCTGCCAAAATCGTGCGAATGCTAAGCAGGCAACAGCTACAGTGGAACCCAAGAGTTTAATATTCTTCAATCCTGCCTGCACATAAGAATCACATGGATTTCTATAAAGAGCACCAGTACCTCAGTTCTTTCCCGAGCCAATTTTTAATTGCCCCCTCCAGAGATGTTAATTCACAACACAGTGTCCAGGCCCACAGATCTGCTGAGATAACTGTTGTGTAGCAGTCTCTTTGGGGAGTCATTAGTGACAAAACAAAGCAGGAGAAAAGGAACAAAAAGATCTTAGACATTCAGAACTCTTCCTCAAGAATAACTTTGCCTCTTGTTCACACAGTTTTGCAGTTTGGAAAGCATTTTCACATATCTTATTTAGCTAACTCTCAGGAAAGTCAGGAGAGCTCCTATTCTAGTGAAGTAACTTAGGATCAAAAAGGCTAAGAATCTGTCCCAAGACACACAGTTTCAAATTTGGCCATATTTCAAAACCAGAGCATTCCACAAGTTCCATCAGGAGCTTGGGACACCTTCCTGTGACTGGCTATGCATTTTTTTCCTGGATATTCAATAACACTGAATTTGCATCGCTGGTGGTAAGGAAAAAAACAAAGGGGGAATGAATACTTATAACCAAAGGATTTTAAAACTACACTGTTCTCTTAGTAGTTCTGAGAGAGAGAATGTCACCACCCACATCACAGTGAAGTCTGAGATAAATGAATGCAAGGCTTTCATTGGTTATGAACAGGAATGGAAAAGGAAACCAGCTGGAAGGAATCCCCTGCCCCCAAATAAGTCCCTGTTCAGAGAGCCCACTGACTTGGGGGGATGGGAATATAGACACATTTGATGTTCTCTGATTGGAACAGAAACAACTGACCAGGCACGTGGTGCCACAGGAGGAAAACAAGTGAAGCCTGAGGACACAGGCTGGGCCTAAGGGTGTGACAACTTCAACCGAAAGGAATCTGGGCAATCTTATCTCTCCACTGGCCTCTTACCCTGGAGATTCTGCTTATGCAGATGAAACCTGGCTGAGTCATCAGCTTCCTCAGCCAAGCACCACCTGTCCATACTGCTTGGGGGGTCTCCCACACAGGCTTGCACAGGGTAGCAGGAAGGGCAAAAGCTGGAGAATTATCTCTGGGCTCAGACTGGGGGTGTAAGAATCCAGCTCTGCTGACTAGAGATGTAAGGTGAGTTGCTAATCTTTCTAAGCCTTAGTGTTTCCATCTGTAAAGGGGGTGTATTTAAATCCAAGGCTAGCCTCGTGGGCATAGAACCTGCACCATCACACCACCCAGGACTTAGTAGGGCCTGTGATGAGGTGGCAGCGGTCACACCAGCCTACAGTCTTGGAAATCTGGGAGGCTGGGGCAGAGGGACAGCACTGTTGAGCCCAGCTTGGTGAAACCATATGTCAGAAGAGAAAAGGAAAGAGAAAGAAAGGAAGTGTGAGGGAAGGGAATGGAAGGAAACCAAAAGAAAGGAAACAAAAGAGAAGAAAAAAGGCCAGGAAGCAGTTGAGAGAGAGAATGTCACCACCCACATCACAGTGGGGTTCAATGCCCACTTCTACAAAGGGGGGTAGTGCTTGGATTAATATTCTACTGTCAATGTCTTAGAATTCTTGTGAGCTTTCAAAAAAGCCCCAGATGCCAATATTGTGACAACTGGCCTGCCTACACCTGTCCTGTGGTGCTTTTAGAAGGCCTGTAGCAGAGCAGATTCATCTAGAGAGCAGATCGCACTGTGTGTAGCAGGTGTTCAGGGGAGGCAGTCGGTTAGTGTGAAAAGAGTCACACCAAACTCATTGGTTTCCTTTTCTTTTTCTCTTTTAAGGCATGGTTTCAATAAGCAGGGCTCAAACTTGCTATGCTTCTGCCCCAGCCTCCCAGATTTCTGAGACTGCAGGTTGATATGACCAGTACCTATGAGGTGAGTGGGATAGACAGACTCAGGTCAGCCAAGTGACCCAGGGTGAATAACTTTGCTTCTCAGAATAGCTTCATGTAGTGTTGCAAGACTTAATCAGAATTGATCAGAATTCTCCCATGTTGTTTACTTGTTCGCAGGAATCAGTAGGTTTCTTCCACGGAGGTGCTGCAGACTCTGAGAACAGCCGTGAGATCACCAGGTAAGTGGTCAGAACCATTACAGAAAAGGCCCCCTGTCACATGCAGGCCAATATGACCTCACTTCCCCAGAGAGGCCTTGAGGGAGACAGACCAGGGGAAGAGAGAGTGGGGAGGTGGACAGAGAGAGATGCTCATCTCCTGTGGGAGCTTGGTTTTTCCAGAGAAGATGATTTGTAGGACTCTTGTTATGAAACTCTTCTCTTTGGGCCAAAATATAAACAGATTAAATCAAGAGACATTATGCAGGTCAACTGTATCAAGATGCTGAGCAAACCTATCTGTTCCACCTGGGCCAACCATGTTGCTTAAAGCAACACAGACCTTGGGTACACTGTGTTTAGGGCATGGCTTAGTTTCCTATGACATGTGACTTCCAGCCCAAGGTGCTGTCAGCTCCTTCTGGCCACATCCAGACATTCCTGAAATGCACCTCTTTTCTGAAAGGAAGGACTTCCCCACCCTAAGCTCTCAGGAGGAACTGCCTACTGGAAAGAGCCTGTGTCTGATTTCAAGGCCTACGGTATCCCAAGCACTAGAGATCTGACACCAGGTGTCATGGGTATGTAAATGAAGTAGAAGCATCACCTGGTGCCAGGCAGAAAGTAAAGCCAAGACTGGGGAAAGATCCACGCTGACCAATAATAGAGCAGCAGCCAGCAAGTACTGAGCCCTTAACACACACCAGGCATTGTGCTTAGAATTTTAGGCTTATTATTATCTCATTACCCCTGACAGCAACCCATGCAAGGAACTGTTGTTACCTTCTATGTTCATATAAGAACTAAAGCTTGGAGACATAATTTGACTTATTGCAAGTCACGCAGCTAGTAAATGTCACAGCCTGGACTTGACGTCAGTCTGTCTGACCCCCAAACTCATTGCCTTGTTGGCCCCAGCAAAGGGGGACCTCAGAGAGGTCCAGGATATTCATCAACCAACTCCTACATGATAGTAGTCACTGTGATGATTGAGTAAAGCCCCTAACCCTTCCTTTTTCTATATATGTTGGCTAGTCTTGTAATAAAAGAAAGTTCTAGATTCATGCCAAGCACAATTCACTCCCATTAAGGAGAGGCTGGTAGTTTGAAATTCTAATATAACCTTTTTTGTTCTTCCACCAACCCGTTTGAAAGGAATATCCAAGAGGAAAAGGGGGAAAATGCATTTGTTAAAAGAGTTGAAAAATATACTTCTAAATGAGAAACACATGTGTGGTTGTTCTTCCTCCTCCATCTCCCCCCCCCCCCGCCTAGTTGAAAACAAGCTAACATGATATAAATGCATGCATCCTTGCAAAGATAAGACCCACCAGTGCAAGCCCTGGTGGCAGACAACCCAGCGACTGCTGTGGAAAGCTCAGAGAACTCAAGGAGACCCCACAGCCACCCAATGGCAGGACCAAGCGGACTTTTCAAGTAGGAGTACAATAACTCCTGGCAAAGAAGAAAATGATGCCTGAGTTGCTAAGAGAGCACCAGGCCGGGGGAGATACATGTGCTCCAGGAAGGCCTGTGAGCAGTCAAGTGTGCCGGAGAGGGCAGGAGCGCTGGACTCCTGCCAGTTTCTTGTGTCATTGCTTCTCTCCTCCCTTTCTGCTACAAACAGCTGTGGTCTGTCAAAATTGGGTCATCCTTTTTGAATTCCCTGCTTTCAGCACAGCACTGTGAGACTTGTTGACTGGCTTCAAAGTCTCATCTCTGGGGTGAACACTTCGGAGCCACACAGCTGCTGGGGAGGAGCAAAACAGGGCCTGTGTGCATGTCCTTTTCTAGGTCCCCACAGCAATGGACCAGGGCTCACAGATCACGTGCACAGGAAGCCCACTCTTGCACAAATATGCCAGCAGAAGTCCCACTTCTAGGGCTGTTGGTCCCCCTGGAAGGCCAAAGGAAGGGGCAGCACTTACCTTCCCAGAAACCTTCTCACACTGTGATCTCCAGGTGACAGCTTCCTCACATTCTGGTGTCTCCAAGACCAGCTCTGGCCCACCCAGGAAGAAGCTGACCCCACACAAGCATTATACAGGACCCAGGATAGTTCTCACAGCTAAGTGAGAACCTTCCCCCAGCATGGAACACCTGTGACATCTGGCACCACCCAGCTTTCCTTTCAGCAGTGGTCTCAACCTTTCCTCCATCAGGAGCAGGGTTTGAGAACTTTCCTTGGATTTTCTAAAATTGTATCAATAAGTCTTCATGTATAACCCTGCACTATAGGGCCAGATTCCTGGGCAACTTCTCTGGTCTGTCAGTGAGATAAAAATCATTCCTTTTCAACCAGGTTAAAGCTTTTCTTATTCTTTACAGTGACTTGTTTAGGCCTCGTGATAGAATCATCTCATGGTACAGATTCATACTTCAATATTGGCCTCCAGTACAGTCCATGCTGGGGGAAAAGGAAATGCATTATGAGCTGAGTTTCTAAGACTTTTAACACTCATGGGCAGGAGAGCGTATTTCAGGGAGATCTCCCGAAGCATGAGTAAAGGTTGCTACCAGCTCTAGGGTCAGGTCTGGGCTTGCTTCATCTGACCTTGGTTGGTTTTACTTTATTTAGGTAAACTTATTTAGGGGATTCAGAGAACTGTAAAATTCTTACCTTTTAAAAGAGCCCATTGTTAACAATTTGTGCATCACAGCACCCTCGACTTCACCAAAAAAGTCTCCGGTCTGTGAGGAAGAAAAGAAGGTATGTGAGGAAGCATGGAAGAGTCATGGATCCAAACAGCAGAGAAGAAATGAAAACAGATACATATGGTCAGTGTCCGGGAACTGACAGGAGCCCAAAGTAGGGCTTTATGGTTGCTGTTCCATAAAAGGAGAAAGGTTGCAATGATCAGCTCCGGGGTTGCAGGGCAAATCAGTGAGCAGATGTGAACGTCTTCACCATACCCGGGCGGGGGGAGGGTGCGCCACACGTGCCAAATGCAGAAATGAGTATGTGCACACACCCAAGTGCACACATGCACACGTCACGCAGGCACACCATTAGCCTTGGATGAAAACAGCAGTCATCTGTACATAATCCCTTGAGATTAAAATGCTACTTCATATGAGAGAATGAGGCCATGAAAGGGCTTCCTAAACAGTAATAACCAAAATTTTTATAATTCCTGAGTGACCTGTTTAGGAAAATACAAGTGGTCTTCTTCCTTAGCCCTATAAATTTTCTGCAGCTGAGAACACATCCTTTCTCAAAAGTTGCTTGCTGAGGAACATTCCCATTGTGTCAACAGGCTGCGAGTATGTTGACCAGGCATCAGTCTGTCAGAACGCTTGGGCAGACCCAACGGCCAGTCAGATTTCTAAAGGTCTGCCTGTGTATCTGAGGCTGTCTCCAGGTCATGACAAAGCTGTAGCCCCTGCAGCTCTAGCCCTGGTTGCTGGCTGATACTTGCAAATGCTACACAATGGTTAAGGTTTGCAATGAAGGATGTACACTGTCTAGACCTCTGGGACCCTTACGACGGAGGGATCCTTAGGAAAGTGCTATGCCCTGAAGAGAAGAGAAGCTTCTGGCATTAGCTTTATTCTGCCAACACCCTGGAAGGAACCAGAGTGTAGCAGTAGGCAACCTTCATCTCTACGTGCAAGTTCTGAGGATTTGGAGCATTTGCATGTGTGGGCAGAGAACAGGACAGAGTCCAAGTCAAATGCATTCCTTAGTCATTCCTTTTTTTTTTTTTTTGTATTTTATAGAAGGGTCTACAGGATATTCAGGGTCTCACTACTAGATCAGAGTCATAGTGATCTGCCTGTTTACAGCCTCCCAAGAGCTGGGATTATCGGTGAGTGCCACCACGCCCAGTCTCAACTGCCATCTCAGCACACCCCAGGGGCAGGGCTGGCAAGGCAGGACCAGGGATCAAACTCCAAGCCCCTGAGCCTGCTTGCAGGTGCTTTAATCCACTAAGCTATTTGGCTGGCCCTAGGCAATGTATTAACTAAACCTCAATTACACTTCAACGAACAGTGATTTCAACCACACTGCTGAGTCTGTCAGGACAGAAAGCCTTCAGCAAAATGTCAAGAAAGAGAGGAGGAAGGAGGAGGCAACATTTCTCTGACAGTATCAAGCACTTCCATTTTCAATGGAGGGGAAAACTGGGAAACTTACAAACCACGGGCGTACGCTGCTGCGAGGAGCGAGAAGGACATTTGTATTTTGCATGTGTAAATATGCCAGTATCCGTGGAACTGGTTGTTAGATGAAGAAGCATTATCCTAATTGGGGTGCAGGAAGCCAGACAACATCAAACACGCCCAGACTGAACAGGCTGGCAGGCTCCTGGCTAATGCTGCAGGCCTGTTCCCCTGGTAGACAGAGCAAGGAGTCCACAGTGGCTGCGACGCCACTACAGTGGTGAGTTCCTATTTCAATAGTTTGTCAGCAAGTCTGAGAGTCGCCCCTGAAAGACACCTGTTCTGTCCTTCCCGTGCCCCAAGATCAGGCTCCTAGCTCAGCCCTGTGTAGCTCTGGCAGAAGTGCAGAACTTCTCCCAAGACACTAACGTGGGTGTTCCCTCCAGATATTCATGCATATTTCCATGTCTCTCCCTGCCACACGGGCACATTACTCTAGATCAGTGATGGTGAAACCTCTGGAGCTTTCAGTGATAATAAACATCTGGCTAAGGGACGTGTGCCACAGATTCGCCACCACTGCCCTTGGTGGCTGGATTGTGCGGCTGCTTGGAAGCTGGGCTTCCTTCACGGGGTCACGTGTCCTAATATCTACCACCCACTCAGGATCCACTGATGCGCAGGAGATGACTGTAGGTGCAATATGGAGTTTGCAAGGTGCATTGAAGATCTTCCCACGTTCTCTAGGTAAGAGGAGAAATGGAAACCCAGTTTCTTAAGTACCCCAAAGTCAGTGTTTGTAAATGAACAAACAAACCAGTAAGCACAAATTTTAAAGAGTCATACTTGAGGTCAATTTATGGAGCATTGTAGGACCTATCTTATGTTTAATCCTAAAAGAAATTAAATGTTTTATAAGGGAGTTCATTATAGAATGTTAGCATCCTCCAACATTACGGTTATGTACAGTCAACAGTCCTCACTGTCCAGAGGCCCGGAAGTGGTCAGCGATGCTCTGATATTCTCAAAACCAGTTAAGAAAGAAAACTAGCACCAAAAACCATCTGTTTTTCCTCCTATAATACTACTTATAATACTGTAGTGCTAAACTTGCCTATGTTTCACTTGACTCTAAAATGCTAATAGAACTTTTAATTGCAGGAAAAGTTTGAATGCAGAAAACTTGAATGGGAAAGCCTGTTTTTCCATTATAACATTAATGACTTCGATTCTCCTTCTGATTTCTAAATACAGTGGATGTTTCTGTGCTCCAACTCAGCTTGATTGCTTTGCCTTTCTCCATCTGATTTGCACACTACATGTGGTTTGATTAAATATACATTATTATTATCATTTTCTATCGTTGGGCATTTGTATCTAGATGTGAAGATCTCAAATTAATCTTTAGATTTGGACGACTGACTTTTAAACAGCAAAAATCAGAAAGAAAACCATAACTGATAACTATGAGGACTATGTAGGAATGTGTGTGTGTGTGTGTGTGTATGTGTGTACACACATGTGAATGCATACATGTGTGTGCATGTAGGCAAAATAGTTATGGGAGAAAACCTCCTTAAAGTTGCCCAAATTTTTGAAGGCTCCTCTACCCTGGAGGGCAAAAACTCTTTATGCAGCACTGAAAATTCTGAGGTGGAGTTGTATAAACTGAACATTTAATGGGTAAGAGAGCAGAGCCTGCTCTCTGCCACCTCCCCAGTGCCCCTGCCCCCGGGAGGTAAGAACTCTTCGGGGCCTGCTTAGAGGTAGGCTGTGACATTCCTCAAAAGGTGGAAATAGGATTGCATAATCTCCTGCCCCTTGTACATAAGTTGTTGTCTCCAAGTGATCTATCAAACCATAGTCATTCTCTTTGACACAAGCATGTTCTAACCTCCTTCCTTGGAGTTGGTAGGCCTTGGGCACTCACCTGGGTGTAGTCTTCAGACACCAGAATAAATCCATTGTTGTCTATGAGGTAACAGTTCACAGTCTAAAAACAAAACCAAACAGTTTTGAGTCCACAGATTGCTTTTACACTGAATGGTGTACTTTTAACAGGAGAGAAACCCAGTTCTTCAGAGGGGACTTGAATTCAAAGAATTGCTAGTGCCTGCCCGCCCTGTACGTCAAGGCGGTGGCTCAGCAAACCCTAGTGTTGACTCTGCAAAACGAACAAAAACAAAGCACAAAACAGGCCTTGAGTGACCCAGATTGGGGTAAAAAGAATGTACTCGAACAATGATGAGTTGTAGTTTGCCTTGCCCCTTTTTTCTTTATAGGATCTAAATATTTCCCAAGAACGGCGTTCAGAGGCCAGCAAGCCTACACTTCTGGTGGCTGAGGCACAGGCTGTTTTGAAAGCAAAACGCCAGCACAATGTCATTACGCTAATGATGTATTAATGAAAACACTGTGTCAGCTCCGAGGACCATCAGGGGACCAGGTCATATTTTTTAATTTGTTCATAGACTGAGGCGGGGGAAGGGGCAGCCTTCTGTGAAAGGGGCCCCTCAGGCCTCCTAAAAGTTTTCAAACTGAGTTTTTAATTGGGAGCTGGATGTGGGGGCATGGCTGTTGGCTTTTGGTAGCTCAGACTTATAAATTGTGGAAAGCAAGGTAAACCCAAACCTCTGCTTCCCCCACACTCCTTTAATCTCGAGTGAATGATTTGCTACAGGCTAAGTTTTAATTATGGTGCTGTGGAGTTTAAACTTAAGGCTTAATTCTGTCCTTGATGTAACTAGGTTTCTATTTATTGCAGCTTTACATACCGACTGCAACATTTAATTTGTAACGTATCTTTACCCTGAGCTAAATTCCGCCTAGCTCCAGGCCACCACTGGGATGGGTGTTTTCTGAGGTACTTACTGACCTACGCATATGGTTAGTTTTGGTTGGGCACAAAAAGACAGAAGGGAGGTGGTGGAAAAGGTCTGACCTTTATTTCTAGACATTGAGCATGCAAAATTGACAAAATTAGACTCCCTACTAGAACTTTTGTATGAGAGTTGGCTGCACTGGTTCTGGAAAGATCTTGATAAACTTTCTGTATCCGGAATCACTGGAGTGATCGCATAGAGCTCATAATGGTCCTCATTACTTTGTGTAGATTTATGTTAATTTTAATTTAATAATTTAATTTTAATTTTAATTAAAATGAAAAACAACTAAAAATTCAGTCCCAAGGAAGTATAAACTACATCTCAAATGTTGAAAATATACCCTGTGTAGGGGTAATACTTTTGTGCGTGTTTATCATTGTAGAACTTTATTATGGACAGCAAAGTCTTAGATTATACAAGGATTTCAGTGAGCATAAACCCAGTCTATAGTAGATCCTATTAGATAAATCTGTATCCGTGTTGATTTGCATTTCCTGGCGTTCATTTTGCATATTTAGCACTAAAACAAAATACACACATTCCATTCAAACAATAATTACAAATACAGGAGTGACTTCCACTTTCAGATATTGATTATCCAATTCCTCCCAGCTGTGCAGCAAGTTAAACGTCTACATAGAAATTTCAATTCTTAACTATAAAATGAGTTCCACCAGTACATCCCCAACCAATCAGTCATTTGTTATTAAAGTTACACGCACCTTTGGTCAGTATCTCTTTGTCTAATATTATAAATACTGGGCAAAATAATACAGGTACAGGGAAAATCAGTGATGGAAATCAGTTGAAAATCCTCAAGGAAGAGGCAAGAGTTCATCAAATCCATGAGAAAGATGATGGAGAACAACAGCTCCAATCACACATGAAGCCCCTGGCATGTGAAGATTGATCAGAAACAATAAAAATAGAAAGGAAAATATCACAGAGGAAGCCACAGGCATGTGAAGATTGATCAGTAGTAGCAGTCTCATAAAGCAAAGCAAATTGCCATAGATAAGACATGAGAAATGCTTCCAAAGAGAGTGGTTTCAAAAGCAAGACAACAGGAAAAACCCCTGGGAAGCAGAAGAGCGTTCTATTAATATGTGGCTGCCCTTGTGATCACTGAAAAACTTACATGCAAAGGATCCGCGTGGTGCTGTTTTATCACTTCATTCGAAACACGGAACTCCCGGCCCCCCGGGCTCCATATATTTGTTTCTTTGTTTGAAAACTTAAGTACAGTGGCAGCTGTGATCTGAATTTGTTAAATGAGTACATTTTCACAATTTCTGTTTTATTTAGAATAAAGCTTTCATGAAAGGTTTTCGTCTTCGCTGTAAACATCTGGTTCTTTGCCTGACTTCAGTTTTGGGACAAGGGACTTCTGTGCCCTCCTGTGGACAGCACTGGTGGAAGGGAATCTGGCCCCGTTCTCGGGAGACTTTCAGTGACTGCACCTGGCTCCCTCTCTCTTCTGGGATGGAAGGACTAGAGTGAGAGTTCTAGAATGTAGGTAACCCAGAACTTAGAAAAGTAGACTATAAAAATAGGTGGCAAGCCTGGGAGAATCTCAGCTCACTGTCACAGAAAGCAGTTCTTCATAAAATAGGATTGTCATGAGGAAGAAAAGGAGGGAGAAGAGGAGGAGGAGGAGGAAAAGAAGGAGGCAGCTCCAGGGTAGCATCACTTACACAAAGACCACTTTTTGCACCAGCAAGCAAGGAAACATCTCCTTGGACAAAGGGAAAACAGAGGCCTGGAAGTGATACCTGCCCTATGGTCTCACAGCTAAGCAGGTGGGACCGGAAAGGGCCCTGTGACTAGACAGCCTGAATTCTTACTGTTGGCTGACTCCTCTACCTTCCAAAATTCAAGATGGTTCCGTGTGCTCCTGGGAGGCTTTTCATGCTTGACAAAAGGAAACCCTTAACCTGCAGAGCAAAGGACAGATCTTGTCTGTCAAATATTACCATAAGAAACAACAGCAAATGGCACAGAAGTCCGTCAGATCATTCCTTGCCCCAAATGCTGAGGCATTGTTCTTAAGGTTGAAAAAAAAAACACACAAAAAAACCAAAACATCATCATTTTGCTCAAGTGGTATTAACCCCAACTCTAGGTTCCTGGACCCCCGGGAGCATCAATTCTTAAGCTGATATCTGAAGCCAAGAGGCAATCAACATAGCTTTAGAGGGATTTTCTGTACATAGCTGAGATTCGGTAAGGAACAATCTATGGAAGAAAATAAAAAGCCCATTACAGTCTAGAGTCTAAGACATAGTTTTTGTTGCTGGACAAAATAGGTTGGGGCTGGAGAGATGGCTCAGTGGTCTAAAGCACCTACTTAGAACAAGCTTGGCAAGGCATCAGGGACCGTGGTTCAATCCCCCAGCACCACA